CTTATATTTTGGCACTAACAGTTGAAGAAAGATCCTTGTCATCCTAAATATAGCTGTTACAGTCACTCCATTTATCAATGCATTAAATAGTTGAAAATTCATTGTTTGAATAAATCATTGAGCATTACTTTGACCGATGGCATCCTTGAAAACTTAAACAAAACATAACTTCATATGCCATATGGGCACCCAATTTATACCAGTCGTTTAAATTACAAACATCTAGAAGTGTTCTCGTAAATTAAGATTGATCCAATGCAGTATCTTTTAAGATCTGTGTCTTGAAAAGTGGTCTTAGAGCTCCAAGAAAAACTTCTTGACTAAGTGGTAACATCAAGAAATTGCTGACAATGATGCATCGATGTGTTTTGTTGTAGCGAAGTGTATTGAGCAATTTTCTTTCATGGCAATACTTGGCAATATTTGTCTATCTCTGATATCCATGGACCACTTTGTTAGGATATTATGTTGACAATGAAGTATAATCATGGTCATTCTATGGTGGATCGTCAGCACTAAAGGCTGAAAAATGCGGAGGGCGAACAATACGTCAAGTTAAGCTGCAGATATAACCTGAATAGATGGGATGATGAGTGATTTCGACTTCCATCTTGAGGATCCTAATGCACAGGGAAATAGGTTGTTATAACATTTAGTGCCTCGGGCATACAGCTAGCTTTAAACATTTAATGACAGGCTATGTCGTAAGAAATAGGACATATTATTGCTGATGACTACAGAACTTGCAAATACTGTACGTCAAATATTTTGTAGATGAAAAAAATTTCATTTCAAACTGTTCCTTCTACAATCACAAAAGAGGGTTGCGATTTACAGAAGCTACCAGTTTCCATCATAATATTTCCATGTTCACAGACAAAAAGAAAACTCCTTTAAACATCCCAAAACTCACACATTACAAAAAAAGTAGGGTACTATTTCATCTTCTACTGTTTCAGAAAAAAAAATTTAAAGCCATCATTTAGACTAGACTAAGTACTAGTGTAGTCATGTGTTATTCTCTTCTTCATTTCAATTTGTTTGTCTTTTTCATGTTACATACTTGCAATTAACCTATATACAAGACTTTGTAACACTCTTATCACTACTGCTTATGTAAGGGGTTAGTGCAAGACACAGGGCACACTTGGGTTTCTTAAGAGAGTTGTTTAGCCTTGAGACTGAGCCAGGAAGCATCTATCAAGACTAGAAGGTGAAGAAGGTGGTACTAGATGTACAGTAACTGTATGTAATGATAGGGCTCAAAATGCCACCTGCATACGCACATTAGTGCACATTAGGTTTATTCTGATGTTTACCTGTATATACATGTATTCTGCACTCACTCTGGTCCATGGTAAAACCAGTCCACAAAATTAGGGTGATATACAGGGGGGCCCGCATGCTCTTTTTCGTAGAGCGTAATCGGCCTTTTTAATTCTACGTAGAGCGTAGACGGACCGCTCTTCGCATTTTGCGTAGAGCGTATTCGCCGTTTTAATTCTACGTAATGCGTTGTAGCCACTTGGAATTTATCGTAAAGCGTAATCGAGAGGTTTCCGAATTCAGCGTAGAGTGTTGTCGGGACCCCCCCTTGCAGGCCCTCATACAGCTACAAGGCTTGAGATACTACAGTACCTGTATATCCAGGTTACGTACATAGAATTGGAAATGTGCAGGTATTTATGATGTCTACCTGTACAGTACCTACACTGGTCTATGAAAAACTACAGGGATGTAGCCTGCAATTCTAGCATGACATAAAGCCAGTAGTAACCCTAAAATGTGTTGACGTATATAATATAATATATACAACATACACTGAACATGTACTAGCACACAGCAAGAGGATTCAAATTTATGGTACATCACTGTATTATAGTATAAAGAACATTTGGAACCATTGTTTTTGATAGACTGATAGGTAAAGAAAACAAGTAGTGTATGTAAAACATCATCTTACATAGTTGACTTTTAATGCTACATGTACATGTACAATCTATGTATTTCCAGCCCTGTAACATGACTTATCGCAAGCTTTTCTGCTGTCTCAGGGCTAAAGCCTGAAAAATAGTGGCAGGCTTATCTGACTTTCTTATTGAGCAGTGCGTCTTCAGGAATTAAGACATCGGTTTATCTTACTGCTACCAGGGCTAAGGCAGGCAGGTGCAGTGTCTTGAGTTTTCTTGGAGGTGTTTCAAGGAGGTAGGCATTTTAGGGTTGGAGTCTGTTTTCTTAAGATGATGAAGCTGTATTCAAGAATGATGAAGAGAAGTGGTGATGAATTTAATTTGTTGAGATTGCAGGACTGGTGAAAGTCGTGAATGTTTCTTAAAGTTACTAATAGAATATAGACTTCATCTACAATAACTATCACCTCTTCAAGATGTCAACACTGAGACCAGACTGTAAGGTTTGATCCACTGTCTCACACCGGGAAGGACCCTGGCACTTTTTAATAAGTGTGGTGGGATCTTTAACGTGTTCAAGATGTGGCTCTCCTGAAACTCGGGACCTTCGGCTTTACATCCTATTTGAGAGGACGTCCCTAACCGAAGGCACTCGTTGTCCCCTGAGTTGAGTGAGGAAATAGGTGTAAAGTGCCTTTCTGAAAAACACAACTATGGGATCTGCCAGGGATTCGAACCCAGAACCTTCAGATTCTTAGTCAACAACCCTAACAGCAAGACCACCTTGCCAATTTCAGAAGGATTCAACATTAGACCACACCAATGTAATTTGTTGGTTTTTGGATTTTTTAAGAAAAAATATGAAGCGACAGGGCGAAAAATAAAAACAGGTCTTGGCATCCTATTACTATGATTGGTGCCATGGAGTCAACACACAAGGCTGTGTTAATATTTAAACAACGAATTTTGAACTTTTAAACAAACCACTGCATTGATGGAAAAACTGCAACAACTAGGAAGAAAAGGACTTTACTCAACTATTGGGGGCAAAATATGAGAATTTTTGAGTTGGTTCAGAACCAGAAAATAAATGAAGAGGTGAATCCAAGAACCAACAAATGAAATGGTGTGGCCTTAACAGAATATACATGACCGGCACAAGATCTAGAGTTAATCTGTCATTTTCCTCAGACTGTGACAGTTTCCCACCTGGTGTTTGTGTGGATAATGGCATGATGATTTTCTCAATAGTCTCAGCACGTTAACTGTCCCCCTGGGATAACCCGTCACTTCTAGACCTTCCCTGTTTATAAAAAAACAGGTCATCTATGAAATTGGGTACTTGATGCGACGGAATGAGAGGTGTGGTGTTATTATAGGAATGTCCTTGTAGTTATTGTCGGGACCAATAGCGTTGGCAAGTCTTTATCAACACTTTCCAGTGTTTAGCGATATCTGAATATTTCATATGTCATTTGGGGTGCAGTAACCTTTTAGTTATCATGACTTTGACATGGTCAGTTTGATATAAAGTTTGGGGCTTGTAAGAAAGATAGAAACACTTTGATACTGGTATGGTGGCTGCACATTTGACATCATATTTACTCTCTCAAACTCTGTGTACCAAGATACAAACTGTAACCTTAGACTCTGTTTTCATGATTTTTGGCTTTCTAGTTGCAAATCACTAAAATATGTAGCATTTTAGTGAAGCTTTTTTTTTTCATCATAAAACTCCTTCCAGGCTGCCAAAACATCTTTCTCTGTCAGCTGACAGTTCTTTGCCAATGTTTCCTGTCCTTTTCTGCCAGGTTTTTCATCAGTAAGTATTTTGCTTGTATGAAATGGATAATATATGTCCTGACATTCCTGTCCCTGACAGACAATTATTTTCACAAACTCTTACCATTTTTCTGCTCAAGATTCTGCAACAAATACCTATTCTTATTTATTATGCTATTCTCACTTTGTATTATTTGCCTTGTCATATAATACATGTAGCTACTGATTTCTTGGTAGAAAAATGCTGTATGATTTATATGAGCCGATCTTCATTGTCAACAATGGCAATACTAAGGCTTTGATTTTTCAAAAGAAATTACATGATCTGGTTACCACTAACCATATTTGAAGTTGTCCATTGTATATTATTGTATACTAAGTATGTATAACAATAATTTTGCTTCTTGTTGTTTCTATATCTTGTATAAATTGAACTCGCCAGACATTTTATAAAATTAATGTTACAGCAAAGTTTCTTTAGTCAGGTATTCGACCTTTATTCTACTCTTTGTACTAAAAATACCATCAATGATAGTGAATACCAGGCTAGAGTTTCTTCTATATTTGTTCCTCATACACAAGTATTAGTTTTAAGAGAGTTGTTTATCCATAACACAAGGCAAAGAAATGTTTCAATAAATTGCCTTCTCCAGTAGTTCACACCAACTTATGTCCTTGGTTATACGTTGGCAAAATTTCAACAAAAGACAGAGGGTAATGGGAGAAAAACTTGAATTTGACTAAATTCCCTTAAAAAAAGCCTGGGTACCATCCTGCTTAGTTTAGTCGTCAGTGGGTAGCGATTATCGGAGCAGACGTAAACTAACCAGGATGGTACCCAGGCTACTATTCACTCCCTGAAGTCCTGTTTTTAATATGCATATTTTTACCTCTTTGCTTGATGTTTTTTGTGCGAATAAAGTAAATTTTAAAAAGACAAAACTAAAACTGTGTGTTCCAGGGTGTACAGACTCCCTTTAGACTCTTTAGACTTTAGAAGGTATTCAATTGGCAGCCTCCGTAGCAGGCTTATAAAACTGGGGGTTTGGTGGTCTTCGGCTGTTTTCTGATTAGCCCAGTTCTAACGGGGGTAATTCAACCAGGCCGGCTATCTTGTCTATATACAATCAAAAAAAAGCACATAAAAGCTCCCAAAGACCATGAAGACCCCCAAAACCCCCAGTTTTTGGCATGCTATGCAGGCTATTCAATTGGCGTGATAATGTTTGTATGTGTCTATGGCATAACACACTCCTGTACAGTTCTGTAGATGAAACCAGATTAAGGTTTGATCCTGTTGTGTTGCAGTTATCCTGGAGAAGACTATACGTATCCCCAGATCCCTCTCAGTCCGAGCAGCTTCTGCACTGAAAGGCTTCCTAAACAAGGTGAGAATCTTTAAGTCATTGTTTGTACTGTCAGTGTTTGTTATAGTAGGACTTGTAGCTGATAAATTTATCATGACTGTGTTCATTCATCAATGTCTGTATGTACAGTACAATAGGAATGATTCTGTTACATAGAACTTTATTGACACAACAAAAGTACAGCGACTTTCATTAGGTCTAAGACATGTAGATATAGACAAATATACATTGGGTACAACGAAATTATCCTACATACAAAACAATTAGATACATAAATAAGGAAATGTGTGTAAAATCAACATAATTCAGTTAATATTATGTACTCTACTACCAGTGGATTTATAGAACTAATAGTGATTGCTCAATCAGTTGATTAATTGATTGAAAACAGTGAAATTAGCACAATTGAAGAAAGAACATAATAAATATTTATGTTTTCTATGCTAAAACCACAGAGAAAATGTCAAAATTTACAGTACTGTACTTAGAAAGAGACCTCATCTAGATCTTTGCTAGTGCTGTACATTTCAGAGTTGTAATGTGAAGATCCCATCCTATTAGTCATTTTTGGGTCATAGGGACAGGTGGGTTGTTGGTCCACTCTGTGTAGGACTCTCCTTCTACCAAGTACAGCTTTTTACCCCCCCAACCCAAGGCCACACCAATTTAATTTGTTGGTTCTCGGATTCGCCTCTTCATTTTTTTCTGATTTGCAAAAAAAAAAATTGATTCTGGTCCTGAATCAACTGAAAAATGCTCATGTTTTGCCCCCAACAGTTGAGGAAAGTCCTTTTCTTCCTAGTTGTTACAGTTTTCCCATCTATCATTGCAGTGGTTTGATTAAAAGTTCAAAATTCAATGTTTAAATTTCGACCCAGCCTTTTGTGTTGACTTCATGGCTCATTTTGTAGCATTTAAGCCTATAATAGGATGCCTAGACCTGTTTTTATTTTTATTTTTTTTCACCCTGTCGCTTCATATTTTTTCTGAAAAAATCCGAGAACCAACAAATTAAATTGGTGTGGCCTTAGGCACCCATTTACACCTGGGTGGAGTGAGGAAAGTCATGTTAAGTGCCTTTTCCAGGGACACAGCATCTAGTCTAGAATTGCCACTGGAATCAACCCATGACCTCTTGGTCCTGTAATCTAGTACTACTACAACCACTCAGCGATGGATGCCACTTCAGAGACATGCGTATGTAGGTTAATGATGCGGGATTTCCAAACGCCGCCGAGACACGAAGCTTATAGCATTAAACCACTGACAACATGATTTTTGCAAAACCGTCATAAAGCGCTGATGTTTAACCCTCTAGAGACGGAGACAAATCTGCCAGAGAGACAGACATGTACCGTGTATGTAGGTTAACAGCCAGGAGGAATTACTGCCCAGAATTATGAGTGACAGAGCTGGTGCTTTCGGCATTACAAACCAGCAGACAGGTGGCCTAAAATCTAATCATGTCAAGGTCTCATCAAGACCTACTAACACACACCAAATATCAAGACAATCTAAGCCTTCTCGAGTTGGCGTGTTTACACATAGACGGACAAACAAACATGCTACCAAAACATAACCTTTTACATGTAGCTTAAGTAACTATACCTTGTGTGACTGGTTTACTGTTTAATGTGAGACTAGGGACTTCCAAGGCTCGAAATACACTATTGTAATTTCAGTTATTTTCACAGGAACTTGATTTTTTTTGAGGAACAGTGACATTTAAGAGTTTGCAGTGTCTTGAGTTCTTTATCTGCAGTATAAGAGCACAGACAGAATGGCTGAAGTGTCAAGCTATATGTTTGTAATATTATTGTGAATGCAAATAAAGTCAAGTCAAGCTAATTGGGGATTCGAACCCAGGACCTCTAGATTCTGAGTCAAGTACCCCAAACCACAGGGCCACACAATGTTGATCCACAATGTTGTTACCCCTATAGAACCCAGCAGAGGGACTGGACTGGATTTGTTTATTTATTTGTTTGTTTATTTATTGACCCACCCATGGCTCTCTCCTGCCCATTTCATCTGTAGTCCAACGACGTAGACTCGCCCTGGCAGGACATGTTGTTCGTAGTAACGAACCTGCTGGTAGACTAGTACAGTGGCTTCCTACTGGGAGACGTAGAGTGGGACGTCCTTATACTACACTTTTGTCCATGTTAGAGAGAGACACTGGTCTCGCAGGGCCTGCATTAGTGTCCGCTATGAGAGATACTGGACATACTGGAGTAACTTTATCAAGTGTACCTCACCGGATTAGTATAATCCTGAGGCATGATGATGATGATGATGATGTTTTGTTCCCCCTACAGAACCCAGCGGAGAGGCTGGGCTGTGCTCCTGTGACAGGCTTCAGTGACATCCAGCACCACACCTTCTTCAAACCCATCGACTGGGACGCTGTAAGGACTCAATCTGAACTCCAATTGTCTTCCTCTCAGACTCACATTAATCTTCCATATCAGCATATAATTGTGCACATGTACACCATAAAGATGTACATGTACATTTTGTAATTATAGTATAGATTAACTTCCAAGTACATGTGTCTGCATGCAGTTACTGTAGTGTGGTTCTCAGGCATTTCATAGCAAAAATACAGTTTCATATTAATATAATTTTTACTTAAAACAGAGGGCTGGGAGAAAAGCTTAAAAGTGCCTACATGTATATTCACTTCCAGAAACTGTATGTACAATATACCAAGGTACAGACTTTCCCCTTAGACTCTGACAAAATAGATCAGAATGATGTTTTGAGTCTAAGAATGACTCAGGCAGAAACATTTTCTTCATTTAGACAGTTTTTTTTAAGTACCTTGGCAGAAACAATGCCATTTGAGCAGATGTTGATTCCTCTATTGTTTCTCTCCACCCCCCAGCTTGAGGCCAGACAGGTGTCCCCGCCCTTCAAACCCAGCATCGACTCCGAGGGAGGAGTGGAGAACTTCGACCAACAGTTCACCAGTGAACCTGTGCAGCTCACACCTGACGACCCGTCAGTTTGTTTGTTTATTTGTTTGTTTTAAACGTGTTTCCTGTCATTGTTGTCACCTGTGCTTAGCTAGTAAGTAGGATAAAAATGTTTAAGATGTTCTTCATTTTTATAACCATTACACTACATGTACCTCAAGGCGTAACACACCAGTTTTGTACAGCATATACAAACATGTACTCTCCAAGCAGAGGTTTGGGTTTTGGGGGTATTTTTAGTGTGTTTTTAGGCTTTTTTTATCGGGGTTTCTCTTTTGCACTGAATTTTTTTTTCCCACCAAACCCAACCTCTGCCGGCACTCACCTCGGGGAGGGGCAAACCTATTCAAAACAGACGATAGTGCCCCTCCCCGGGAACCATCAAACTGTCATTAGGGATATCCATTTTATTGTGGTGGATTATCACACATCTAGCCAGTCAGAAAGACATTCATTGGGCCACACGCCTCCTGCTGACTGTGACTATTCATGCGTCTGGTTCACACCTCCTTGCAGAACGACTGAAATGTGTTGAAGTGATTAGGTTTATAGCCCATTGAAGTTTTCGACTGCCTGCAGAGGTTGGGTTTGGTGGGAATAAAAATTCAGTGCAAAAGAGAAACCCCGATAAAAAAAGCCTAAAAACACACTAAAAATACCCCCAAAACCCAAACCTCTGCTTGGAGAGTAACAAACATGTACAACTTCAAAATCGTGTAAGACCAGACTGTCAGGTTTGAACCACTCACACCGGGAAGGATCCCTACTCTTTTTGATAAGGGTGGTGGGTTCTTTAACATGCTTGAAGTGTGGCTTTCCTCACACATTGAACCTCTGGCTTTGTATTTGATTCAATATTGCATGCCTCTTTGCATTGCACCTTCATGAAGATATAAAATTTCTTCCAAGTCTTTTGTTCATCAACCACAAGTTGTTATTTACTTGTTTATTTGTTTGTTTGTTTACAGGAGAATGCTGGACAAGATCGACCAATCAGAGTTTGAGGGATTCGAGTACGTCAATCCGCTCCTGATGTCCCTAGAAGACTGTGTGTAGTTTTGTTTCCAGCAAAGTTGTTTCCAACTTGGGACCCAACGCACAGTACTCAGCCTGTATCAGTACTTAAAGAGCAGAGACAACTGGGCATAGAATGTGTAATTTACTGACTGAATTCAAATAATTACATACAGGGAGATAGAATTAGCTAACATTTTGTTTTTAGTGAATTTTGGTGCCTTCTGAGTTACCAGTATCAGTTATAATCTCCAAGCAGGTGTTGGAAGGTCAAATTGTTCCTTTTTCTAGCTCTATGTTTTTGTAATGAAAAGGGGCTAGATAATGTCAAGATTTTGCCTCGCAACATCTGCTTGGAGATTAGGTTGGTAGAATTTAAGGATGTTATTCAATCAGGTTTATATTCCGAGAAAAGATTTCTTTGGCTGCATATTTCTTTCAATTGAATTATGACTTTGTAAAAAATTTAGCATGCACATTTTTGGTTTGATGAGGTAATACACAGAACACAGGGTTTGAGTCTGCAATCGTAAGGCAAAAAAAGAGTTCTGAAATCTTTTGGTGCTGTTGTAACTCTTTGGTGTTTTTTAGCTATTTTTTTTTCAATCTCGAGGTACGTTGAACTGTGAAACAAAAGGAATGTAGTCAGAAATAACCAAACCAGGAAGCAAACTTTCTCCAGTGTTGGGAAGGAAAGTCTTGTCGCGAACCAAAAAGCCAAATTGAAAATCTTTTCCAACATTGACATTCAATGTTGTCAAACATTTATGATGTATGCATGCAATGGTAGTTTAGGCACTTAGGTATTTCTTTTAGAGGGAATTTTTTAATGGCATATTTATTATTCATATCAATGAGGTTTTGCTTTGTAACTGCAAAATTAGGATTTTGGAATTTGTTGTAGAGGCATATCATTAAAAGATTTAGGGGGGCAGCATAACAGTTAACACTATACTAACATTGTAGGGCACCTATCATGCTAAACCTTAGAGGGGGTTGAGGGTCTACAACAAAGACGGCCAAACTTTCAAAGTTGCGAATTCAGTACAGAATGTGTATAATTCTGCCAAAATTAGGACATATGTATCTAGTATTCTTGTGTATTTCGATCAGGGGGGAGGGTACCTTTGCCTGGTGCAAAATCATGGAAGTTGCCCCCCAAATGTCCTATACCCCTTTTCTCATAGGTGTTACAGTGATAGATGCAACGATATCTTGAAATTGTACATTTATTAGAAAACAATTGAGTATTCTGATATGCAAGTTAAAGATGCAACAGCAGGGGTTCAAATGACAATGCTATTTCCTTCAAGACAAGTACATGTTAGTTCTGTCGTCTTGAAGTAGTTATCAATCGGATGAGAACTTATTCCTGGGATAGGGAAAGTTAACAATCACTTTCACTTACAACCAATGGAGAGGGATGACATGTTGTTGTAGCTTTATCCTTGATTCCAAAGCCACACAAAAACTAAACAGATCAGGAATGTTACGGCAGGAAATGTTATTAAAAGCAGCGTTTTGGAAGATTGTAGAATCAAAAGACCCAGGAACAAGCAAACTCGTGACTTTGGACAAGTGCATTTGAGGTACAGTTTTAATGTTTGTCTTCAGTACACATGTGTAAGCTGGCATGTTGGAATAACATACTGCACCTGCACAAAACCCAGAGTTTTCAGTTTTTGTTGGACGTTTCATCAATGTTGCATTAGAATTTTGCATATTTCAGGCGATATCTTTTCTGACACCATATTTGAAAACTATGTGATGTCATCCTTAAATTTGGGAATACAACCTTAAACAAGACATTCTGCAGAAGTGCTATGCACAGTACATGACGGGTTTTGCGTAGGCGCAGTATGTTTTGCCAACATCCTATGTAAGCTCATTTTGACCCCCTCATGCATACATTGTAGTTAGATACTACGAATTAGTACTAATATCACTCTGTGTGGAACATTCCAGTTTTAGCTTAAAGTTTTTCGTTAAAAGGAAATTTCCAGACAATCTAGGGTAACCTGTATACATGTTTTTGTTTTTCTCCCACCTTCTTTTTCTATTCATCAAGTAAATAACTGAGATACAAAACTTGTCTGTTGTCTTGTGTTCTTCCATAGATAAGAAGTAGAAAATATGTTCAGAAAAGTAGCTACTGTATTTAAAGGCCTCACCAATTAAATTTGTGGGTCCATGGATTTAAAAAACATAATGGTGAACTGAAAAATCAACATGAAAATATAGTCTAATACAGCGTTTTAGCCAGTGCCTGTCTTTCCCTCATTTGACAGAATTTCAATGCCCATGTCATTAAACTAAGCTTAATTTACCAACAAAGTTTGCCCCTCAAAATGCAGGAAACATCATTTCAAAGGGTCAAGATTCAAAAATCCCCCCCCCCCCTTAAGGCCTCACACCTTGAGCTCTCGACATTATATTATGTTACATCAAACAAAACTGACAAAAATATTTTAGGCTGGCTAGAACAATTATATGAGGGGAAAATTCTGTATACAGCTTCAGGGATAGTTTTCCTCCAAACCATCTGGTATCCTTATGTTCTTTTGCTAAGATTTTACACATTGATGTCCAAGAACCGACAAATAGAATTGGTGTGGCCTGGTGTGTATCTGCTGCCCTGTTCACCATAGTGCTGCATACCTAAACCCACATTTAGGTTCAGGTCCGGATTCAAGTCCAGAGGTTTAGGTTCAGTTCCGGACTTGTAAGTCCAGACCTAAACCCATGGCATATACAAAATTGCATGTTGGCAACCTTGCAATGTTGTATGGGCAAAACTGTGGCCACATAACATGGAGGTCGGTACCTGACGATGATTGATGGAATTTTTTTTTTTCATTTTGCAGCAAAGATTTTGCAATCTATGGAAGGTTTTAGGTGGTTTGGAAAGAAAAGGGGTATGTGAAATGGTCTTTTGTGGTAATAAGTCCGGACTCGGTTCTTGAATTTTAGGTTTTTTTGGACTTGAACCAAAACATTCTTAGAAGTCCAGATCCAAGTCCAGTGAACTGGTATGCAGCACTAGTTCACCACATGATGTCCTCACTACTGGCTGACAGACAGGCTGCAATGTGACCATCCATGTCCAGCTGACTCATCCTGGAAAAAAAAACAGGCAGATTCAAAAAAAGAAACTAGAAAAGTAACATTTGCAAAGCAAATGCATAATGTTTACCTTCGCATATGGTCTGCTCTACTCAAACACATTCACATATATGGTGACAGGAGTCTAAGTCCCTCCTACTATAAAAATGCAACATTATGTATCTCAACACCAGCTACCATGGTGAGAGACAGTCTGGTTCAGTCAGGTCAGAGGTCACTGGAGAAGAAGAAGAGGAAACCTAGCAAAAACAATATGTTTTCCTTCGGTAAACACAAAAAGAAGACATCAAAGCTCTTGTATTTATACCTCTATAAAATTTTGAAATATGTGTTTCAGTTACTATTGTGAATTTACTACTGACTCTGTGCATCATCGACTCCCAGGCTGTTGGGAGACCATTTTCACAAATGCAACTTCGTCAGTCTGCGGTTATACGATTTCCCCCTCTCCTTCTGTGACTTTACTGTATATTCAAATAATTATATATATTTTGGACACACAAGCAAACACAGAAAACAAAACCATTCAAGGAGGTAAATATCTGAACATCTTTAGCCAAAACTTTAACTTGCACTTTTTTGTTTGTACAGTTGGTGTTTTTTAGTATGCAAAGGTAATTGTCAGTCTCATATGCAGCTTAACATGACATAAGGTCGAAGCCTAAATGACAACAAAAATCTGCTGACAACATACCCTGGAGGGAACTCTTCCTGGCACATGGGACAGGAGTGGAGACTTCCAGCCTCTCCACAGCCACCTTTTAACTCCTCTGGTCCCCCTCCATCCTTTAGTTGTACCTTAGATGTTGAAGGTCCAGCTCCAACATTCCTTGGCAGAGTTGAAGCAGCAGGTTGCTTGAAGAGTGGAGCAACTCTAGTCGGCCTGCCCTTTGTAATTTTCCCTGTTGGCTTCTCTCCAGGCTGAAAGGTTTTCAGCGCTCCAGTTTGACTCACTAATCGTTTTCCCCCTCCCTCCGGACAACGTACTCTGATAGCCTGGTCTTTAGGTCGGTCCCTTGTCGCCTCTGTATTCATGGATTGCTTCAGACCATCCATTTTTATTGCTCTTTGACTTTTAAGAGAATCTAACTCCGTGGCTGAGCTAACTTTCTGCCCGTGGGTTACCTTTGGTGTTGGCTTCATCTCATTTTCTTGCAAATTCGTTTTCCTGTTCGTGTCTCCTGCTGGAGTTGTCTTTGGTGGTGTTATTGACTTCATATTCTTCAGTCTGGGTGTCTCTTTGCTATAAAGTGATGATACTGTTGTACTTTGCTGTTTTATAGTTGTGTTCTGAGTTTGTTTTGAACCGACTGTACATGTAGGTCCTGACTGAAAGGTATTGACTCTTCTTGAAATTCTTTCAGTGTCCTTCAGTAACTCAGGACTCAAGTCGACCCTCTTTCTCTTCATACATGTTTTACATGGTGGGGGGAGGGGCAACCACTTAAATGATGTTTCTCCAATGGAGCAGATTCCATGTTCTTGCTTCAGTCCCTGATAAAAAAATGAATCATCAGAAAAACTAGAAAGATAATATTTGCAACTCAAAAGCATAATGTTTACTGGATGTATGACAATGTTGCATTGTGTATATAATATTAATTACATTGTATAGGGAATGACAGTAACACATTAAGGAAGAAACACACACAATACACACACGCATACATACACACACGCATACATACACACACAAACATATGCACACATACACATGTACACACACCCAACAATATTAATACACACAAGACAATAATACACATAGACATACATGTACAGTACACACACACACATATTTACACAGAGACATACACACACACACACACACATACATGTACATAATACACATACACTCACATACACACATACATACACATAATACACAAAACGTTACACTCACACATATACACATAACACACACATACACTCACACACATACACATAGTACACATACATTCACAGTACTTCACACACATACACATTACACACACATAACACGTTACACATACATACATTGTACTGTACACCATACAGAAAGGCAGACAAACACAAATAGACAAGACGAAACAATACTTCACTCCTTTGGGGCAAAGTTCTAAATACCAGCAGCCATACCTGTGACTTGTTGACACCAGTACAAGTGTTGACCATGGGTAAGTCTGACAGGTTTGTCCAGTTGTTGTAGACCGGCCAGTGTTGGGCCAAACTCTGTCTCAGTCTGACCAGTTCAGCTGTTACACCATCGTGCACAGGAGTCTGGTCCTGGTGTTCTCCTGGCTTCTGTCTGCCAGTGGGTTCACAACAAGGATAAACTAGAGAAGTAACATTTGCAAAGCAAATGCATATATGATAATGTTTACCTTCGGACATGGTCTGCTCTGTTAATTCTTACTCAAACACATTCACATACATGTACTACTTAGTATATGGTGACAGGAGCAGAGCAGACCATGAAATTGCAACATTATGTAACCCAAGACCAGTCACGATGGTGACAGATGTCAACAAATCATGTCATTGGTCAGGTCAGAGGTCACTGTTTGGAGAAGAAGAAGAGGAAGAAACATCTAGCAAAAACAATGTTTTCCTTCGGTAAACATAAAAATCATGATGATCTGACATCAGGTTCCCGAGTTATCCCCCCTCAATGATTTTGAAAAAAACACCCCTGCAGTTCCATATCAAAGTTGCTAGGGGACCCCAAACTTATATCACTTCTTCCTGGGCACAAGAGATATATCTAACATTCAAAATTTGTGACCCTGACATGTCCAGATATGAGATATAAAACCGATGTTCCACTGCAGTACCATAACAAGTTGCTAGGGAAGACAAAATCTTAGCTTATTGAAGTTTAGCCTCAAGGGGCCGGCAAACTGTAAACTGGATGGCTAAACTCCCTCGGCATGTTATCTCTCTATTTGGCCAATTTCTACTATTTTCAGCCGCGCCCTCAAGCCTGGTAGAGGCTAATAAAGATCCATAAATTGATAAAAGTTGACGAAGTTTAGAGCGCCCCCCTCCCACAGTTCACGTTACCTCTCCACAAGTTGTGTTTTTTCAGCAGTCTGGGCGGGAATTCTAGCTGCATGGCCTTCTGGAGATCCCTCTGCCTTCCCATCTTTAATCCCGCCCGCCAGACTCCCCAAACTCGGGCTGTTCGCGCCGCGTTTTCTCTTCGTACTCAGTTTGTTCTTCCGATTTGCCGCCATGTTTTAAACGGAGGCCAACTGCGCATGCCCGAATCTCCAAGCAGATACGCGGTTGGCCCAGTGTTCTACGCCTGTTTCCACGTCTAGCGGAAAAATAGACGATAAACAAGGACAACAACAGCAACAACTGTTTCAAGTTTGGGGCATTTTTTACGCATTTTTATTCCTGCCACAAGGAATAAAACGAGGGGATCTTAGTACCATACTTTTCAAGACATCATCAGAATAAATGAGTCTAAAATAGAATTAGACGGCTCCAATCAACTCAGCATTGATCTATGTACGCCCAAGACCTACCCGCATACCAAATATCATCACAAATTCGTCTCCAGCATCTCAAGTTATTGCAGGCTAGGCCAAAACATCACAGACAGACGGACAAACACACCAAAATTAATATCTCTATTTTCGCGGACGTAATTTTAAAACTTGCATTGCAGAGGTTCAAGTGACGCCAAAGCTTAGTCTCCACCAGACTTCTTTGCGGGGTGAATAAATCGTAGAAATCGGCCTAAAAAGGGTATTAATTGGCCAGAGAAGATAGCCGGCCAGAGAAGCTCCAGCTCCCCGCCAAGAGTGGAGACTACCAAAGCTCTCCTCCCAAACACGGGGCCTCCGGCTGTACGCCCCCATCCGAAATGATGAATGCGCACCCCCAAACCGTGCCCGAGCGGGGCGACAGTTCTCACTAATTGGACCCACAGGCGACATTTCAACCAGGCGGTTCTGACTCGGTCTCTTCTCCCCGGGGATGTTTAGTTCAAATGATTGATTGACAAAAGAACGTATGCCTCGGAAGGGCTAGGCACTAGTCATCTATGGTATGACTTACTAGTAATAGACTTGTGACAAATAAATACAGGAAAGTATAGACAAGTCTAGATCTGCACGAGTTTAACATATATAGTAGACAATAATATTTGCTGGAATACCTTTTGAATATATATTGTACACCAAGTCATGCCTTAAGAGCTAGGTACAGATCCTCTACCTTATTATATATTAACAACTATAGGAAAGTATGGACGAGTTATTATTAAACATACATAGTAGACAAAAATGTTGAATGCAAGCCCTTTTCCGTAGAGCGTAATCGGCCGTTTTTAATAACTTTTCTACGTAGAGCGTAGACGGACCGCTCAAAAATTTTGCGTAGAGCGCGTTGTAGCCACTTGGAATTTATCGTAAAGCGAAATCGAGAGGTTTCCGAATTCAGCGTAGAGCGTTGTCGGGACCCCCCCTTGCAGGCCCTCATGGGAGAACCAGGAAGATAACAACCCAGCGCACGCCGCCGCCCCGAGCTTTTGTCCTCAGACGTCTTGTACAGAACTCCGGGTAAGCCGTCCATCCATCAGCGGGGAGAGAGGCTGTCAGCCGCGGCTTCAGGCGGGCCTGCCCGGGATCGGGATCCCTGCGGTGCTTGGTGGGAAATTTCCCGCCACCTATATCAATGGTTTATTTTGAATTAAAACACAACAACACTGCCCAAAAATGGCAGCCAGAGGCTGAATTGACATTGGGACATCACATTAATAGTATAAAACGTCATATTAAGTGATTAAAATAGAAATAAACCATTACATAAAATGTATGTAAAATATAGTCAACGACGTTTCAAGTGCAAATTAATATCATAGCAGATAACAATTACCTTACAGTGGCTCTGAGTGGCTCTGGCTCTGAATTTTAAACAAATTCCAAATCTCTCTATCCCTCTTTCTTATTTTCTTGCGTGGGAGGGGGCTTTATTTAGAGGTAAGTTTATATTACCTGTTTTGCCCCACCCCTCCACTATACTCGGTGATATATTGAAACAAATTTAAACAAACAAACAAACAAACAAGTACATGCTGTCAAACGTGCGTGATTTCATACAATTGCAAGCGGTGTTAAAAATTTTCGGCCAAGCACATCGATATATATCGGATCACCCCTATATTTCGGGATAGATAAGTGTGCTGGGTTCTTTTACGTGCAGAGGTTTCAAGGCTGAAGCTTCTCCATACACGCCGACTTTATAACTTACGGTCACCAACCGAAATAACTAATGCAATCCGTCAAACCGAGCCCGAGCGGGGCTAGAACCTTGCTTTAAAAGTTGATCCGTATGCCACAGCACAAGGGGGGGGGGTATTGCTTGCGTCACAAGAGTACGTCATACATACATGTACTCGCCCGGCACGTCGACCTTTTCCGAACTTAATGTTCAGAGAAATGTCAACTACTAACGATAAATACGCCCCCGTAGACAGAGTGAACCCGTCAGAGCGCTTTCGTTTCGATCTGCGAGATTTTTATTTCTTACATGTTATATTTTCATCATTACGACAGGAATGCCACAGTTATGATATCGAAAAAATGCGGATGTTACTAGATTAAACGAGTCTTACATGACACATGTACATGTACCTATAAGTCTGCTAAACTAGCATCATCTCACGTATGCTAGCAGACGAGATGCCAGACTACATATCAATGCAGCGAAGGGATGGTGAGTTACAGCTGCGAACATGTACAACACAAACTGACTACAATACTCCTGAACAATAACTGAACTGCTTCACGGAGTAAGTCAAAAAGTTGTGTACTTAAGGGTAAGTCTATTCAGGTACAGTACCGGTACATTGATGTAGTGTTTTGACCTGTACCGACATGATTTCGGCGGTACTGTACCGGTACGCAGCACTAGTGCGAACTTATTACTTCCAGACAGCATCCATCAACTATAAGTTAGGCCAGCAGAACTCCGGAGCAGACAGCCAGACGGCAGAAACACATCTCCTTATCCGCCGATCGTCTGTGCGGCTGTGCAGGCGGGATTGCCCCCTTCCTTCCCTCGCTCCTTCACACGAGACGAGACGAGACGCCCAGACGGCAGTCAGAGGCGCGTCAAGTCCAACAGACGATGAAATCTCGGGGTAATCAATTTGCCGATGTCTGTGCGAGCTCTCCTGTTCCTGACGGCGCCAGGCCACATTACGAAACATGCGGCCCGCTTTGGGGAGAGGAAACTCCAGACGTGACTTCAAGACGAAATGAGCTGTTCCGTTATGCGAGGTTACCCCAAGAGGGTACTCGATGACTCGTTAACGCGGCAGTAACCGCGTCTGGTAATGAGTAACGACAACTCTCATAATTCCGCTGGGTACCCTGAGACTGACATATTTAACAACAAGAAATTGAAGATTTCAGACTCCCAGGAAGTATTTTGTGTTTGGGGGACCCTCAACTTCACCCCATTTCCTTTGCCTGACCTTCTGGCGTCCTGTCATTCTGCCTTTTACTCTTTTCCGCACGTGCTGTCAACTTGTTCTGTCCGAAATCTGAGCCTCCAAGAACAATACTTCCGTACTCCCTCTGTCCATGCCCGAAAGTAAAAATTGTGAGATTCATGTTGTGACTTAAATCATATTACCTATTCATCATGATTTCATATTACTTGTATGTACCATATGTAGATTTGAGTTACTTTAGTTTTATTTGACTTGTGTTGCCAAGTTGGACGGTTCACTTCTTTTGTTACTTTTCTTTTGTTGAATAAATAAATAGAACATTTTTTTTTTAATTGTGAGATTCACTAATGCAGCATCAACAATCCCCCAAGGTATGCGCAGGTGTTTGAGACATTCTTGAGAATGCCTTGGCAGCACCGTTTCTCTAATGTGGCGGTCTTAAAGTCCTCAGTAGGAGACTTGACGTTAGCTTTATTAACTTGCGCTCGGCAGCAATAAAACGCGAGAGCCGACATCGTTTTTACGTCGCCCGCGGGAGCTTACGCGTAGGAGCGGGTCAGACGACCAGCGGCGACGTTAACTTTACGATGTCGACGCCGGGGCGTAACGTTAACGTCTGGTGGCGTCAACGACGTCACGGCAGATTAATGTGCTGGCCATATTCCCGGAACAAGCTTAAGCTGACCATATTCCCGGAATAAGCTGGAACTGGTTCAACAGAGTTTCTATATTCCAGGGAAAAGCTGGAACTGGTTTAACAGCATCTCCATATTCCTGGAAAAAGCTGGGACTGGTTTAACAGTATTTCCACATTCCCGGAATAAGCTGGGACTGGTTTAACAGCATTTCCATATTCCTGGAAAAAGCTGGGACTGGTTTAACAGCATTTCCACATTCCTGGAAAAAGGTGGAACTGATCTAGCAGCATTTCCGGAACTGGTTAACAACATTTTTATATTCCAGGAACAAGTTAGGAACTCGTTCTTTATAGAATTTGAGCCTTTGTACAAACTTTCGGAGAAGTTGTAACACACAGAAGGCATGCGTAGAAAGGGCACAGAGTTCCCGATTGTAATCTTCCCCTGGCCTTGACGAAAATGAGACACAATAAGTCCTAGCTGAAGATTGCATAATCAAAAAGCAGTTTCCGCCTCGTGGACGGATTGGAAGGTAAGCTAGACTTTCATGAGGAGGTTTACGGATGGTATTTCAATCTGATGGTGCCGCCAGTTGTTCTGTATCTCATGTGTCATTCATAGCCGCTAGCGAAGCCCCGGTAGACGTGCCCGAGTATGCAAATCAGTCTCACAGACATTCAGCCAGCGACGAGCGGAGATAATCCTACGAACTTAAGGTCTCTCTTCTTAAAGTTTAAATACGTACTGTGGCGGTGACAGCGAAACAACCATTGAGCGACCTAAACTCTCATTAGTAGTTATAACGAATGTCACTGGTAAAGAAGAGCGTTTTGTACGTTTAGCGTGTTTTGTTGTCTTTAGAATCATACCTTTACATCATGGATCATATTCATTTTATAAAGTCATAGATCATACAAATTTCCTTTCGGGTCAGTCAACGGCATGGAGATCGGTGAGCGACCAAAATTGAAATTAATTCTATTTTTATAATTGGAATGTAATAGTCACAATTAACAGCTAACTCTGCCTGTGCCCACCTTTCACCATAAATACAGGTAAAAGAATGAGCAACAAAACACAAAACGTAAACAAAATCGTTCTTTGTCTATGGAATTCGTCGAAAAATCAG